CTTTACACAATTGATGTGTGTATGGATTGGGATAACAGTTGTATAAGCCCCTAATAAAATGTTAAAAAAGAAAAAAAAAAAAGAAAGAGGAAAAAAAAATGATGGCAACATAGGTACAAAAAAAAAAAAAAGAATAAAGGTCCCTCGGAAGAAAGACCTGGCTATCAGGAAAGAACCCTGATGATGCAGTGTGTTAAGTATTGGGCTGCAAACTGCAAGGTTGGTGGTTCAAGCCTAGCAGCGGCTCTTAGGTCGAGATATGAGGCTGTCGGTTTCCATAAAGTACAACAGTCCCAGCAACCTTAAAGAGCAATTTTGTGCATTGTAGGGTTGCTAGGAGCCGGTGTTACCAGCAGCTCCTCGGGAGAAAGATGAGGCACTTCTGCTCCCTGGGAAATTCATAGGGCCAGTTCCACATTACTCTAGAGGGTCACTGTGAGTCGGCATCAATTTGATGGCAGTGAGTGTTGAGTATGTTGCAATCAGCTGAATGGCAGTGGGTGTCCTTCTGTGGGAACTGATGCCACTTGATGATATGTGTCCAAAGTGTGTGAAGTGAAGTCTTGCCATCCTCTTCCTAAGGAGCATTCTGGCTGTACTCCCTCCAAAATAGATTTGTCCATCCTCTGGCAAACCAAAGAACACGTACACTTCATGTTCTTCACTCGCACTAGAATTCGAAGGCCTCTGCTTTCCCGGGGCCTTCTCTGTACATCTCTCTCCTGCATGTGAAGAGATGGAAACCCATGACCTGTGGAACAATTCTCTGACACACACTGGGTTCCCCAAAGTCAGAATCAATCCACGGGCAACTGCTTTGGGCTTGGGGCATATTAGTGCTATGTTTTCAAGCCTTGGCTTTTATGAATGAAAGGGTTTTCCATCATTAACTCAGCAAATGGCCTGGGTGTATCCCTGGAACTTCTCTGAGGCCGAGTCTCCCTTTCTGTCGAGAGAAGATTAGCGGGTAACACCCATTTTCTGGAGCTGTGCAGATTAGATGGGATGCACATGTCAAAAGTCTGCAACACTGAAGTTAGTTTCCCCATTTTCCCCGCGAGGATACAAAGAAGTAGCTCACTCTGCTTCTTCACGACTTGAGGGGAATCCCAGATTGACAGTGGGTTGCGGAAGATTTCACAGGAGAAAAACGACAAAGAGCCATTGGGAGAAAAATGAGGCTGACAGTCTCAGAAACGCTAAGGAGCAGTTCTGTGCTGTCCTAGAGGGCTGCCATGAATCAGAATTGATTAGGTGGCAGTAGGTTTGTTTGTTTGTGTTTGTTCTTTTTTCCCCCCAACAGCTTTATTGGCATATAATTCACATATCATACAATTCAATAGGTCAGTCTCATCAAGAAGAGTTGTACAGTCATCGCCACCATCCACTTGAGAACATTGTCTTCACTCTTGTACATTTCATTATTAGCTCCCCATTTCCCCCCATCCTTCTCTGCCGTACCCCTAAGGAACCATGAATCCAGTGACTGTCTATAGAGTGATAGACAAATTTCATATACAGAAAAATAGTAAACCCACACAGATGAACCCCACATAACTAACAACAATAACAAACAGATAAAAACCTCTACCGAAAAGAAAGCAGAGAAACTAGAAAGCATTTACGTGGATCGTAAGGGAGAACAAATGATAGGGTGCTAATTTTTGACCTAGCTACAACTGCCATAACCGGTTTTACTCTGCTCGCTGTCTGATAAATAGAGCTATTCACAGCCCTCAACTATGATGGGCTGAATCCCTGTGTGCACCCTGCACTGTGAGCCATAGCCTTCTACAAACCAGGTGGTCACAATTTACGCTCTGATACCGTTTCCTTTTTCAGATTTAGATTATCCTATTTGTAGTTCTTGGATCACACAGGCGGGTGTGCTTCTTCCCTGTGGACTTAGTTGACTCCTCACTTAGAGGCCGGCTTGTTTGAAAACAAGCCTTTAAGACTCCAGACGGTACTCTTTCTGATAGCCAGGCACCATCTAGTTTCTTCACCACGCTTTGTTATTGTGCCCATATCTTAAGTGATCTCTTCTCATGAGGTTGGACATCCAGCAGAGCTGTGTTATAAGAACTAATTGTTCTTAGATTGGGGCTCGAATGAAGGCAAGGTCAAAATCTATTCATGCATCTATGATTCATACATATCTCTGGTTCACCTTAGAGCATCATTGTCATTTTATGTTGGAGAACATTAGTAATCATCCCCCTGGGGCATCACTTTCACTAGTAGGATTTTAAAATATAATTTAAATAAATTTAAATAGTTACACATGACTCATGGCTTATATATATATATTCATATCATTCATTATATATATAATTTTTGTGTGTGTGATCCAAATGAGTTTTTATAAAGGATGGAAGAAGTTTCGGGTTTTATAGCCACTGAACACGGGCAACTCAGGACTGCACACCCACGCGTGGTGGCCTGAGGCCAGAGAGAGAGACTGCAGCAGGGCAAGGCAGAGAACAGCTGAAGGGCTGGGTGGTCACAAGATCCTGGTATTTGGGGCCTTTGGCTGCCTGAGAGGTGTGGTCGAAGGTATTGGTTGACCCCATTGGCTGAATTAAGCCCACCTGGCCTAGTTTGGGCCACCCACGTGTACCACTCACCTGGCTCGGTCTTGAATTGGCGCATGCCGTTTTTTGGAGTCCAATCTCCTGTAGCGGGGAGCCTCCAGGCATGGAGAGGGACAACCCCCTCCCTGTTTCTAGCTACCTAACATAACTCTTTACAGAAGTAGAAAGTCCCTCCTTTCTCCTGAGAAGCAGCTCCTGGTTTCGAACTGCTGACCTTGCGGTTAGCAGCCCAATGTGTAACCACGATGCCCCTAGGACGCTTCTTGTGGACAAGTATGTTTCATGTTATGTTTTTGCTAAGTTAGCACATTGCAATCCCACCAAAAATATGTAAATAGGACCACCTCCCCATAAGGAGCCCTGATGGTACAGTGGGTTAGACCTTGGGCTGCTGACCCCAAGGCCTGCAGTTTGAAACCACCAGCCGCTCTGCGGGAGAAAGACAAGGCTTTCCACTCCTGTAAAGAGCTGCAGTCTGAGAAACTCACAAGGGCAGTTCTACCCTGTTGCTTGAGTCAGAATTGACTCGATGACAGTGAGTTATTTCTCCATTTCCTCCACAACACTTAAGTGTTATCAGACTGTTTTCTTGGCTAGTTTGATTGGCTGGAGAGATCCCCTAGAGCAGCAGTTCTCAACCCGTGGGTCTCGACCCCTCTGGGTGTCTAACGACCCTTTCACAGGGGTCGCCTGATTCATAACAGTAGCAAAATTACAGTTATGAAATAGCAATGAAAATAATTATATGGTTGGGGGGTCACCACCACATGAGGTAAGTGTATGAGAGGGTAGTGGCATTAGGAAGGTTGAGAACCACTGCTCTAGAACTTTTTTTTTTTTAATCATTTATTGGGGGCTCATACAACTCTTTTTTTTTTAAAAATTGGGGGCTCATACAACTCTTATTACAATCCATACATACATCCTTTGTGTCAAGCACATTAGTACATTTGTTGCCATCATCATTCTCTAAACATTTTCTTTCTACTTGAGCCCTTGGTATCAGCTCCTCATTTTCCCCCCTCCCTTCCCACCCTGCCTCCCTTACAAACCCTTGATAATTTATAAATTATTGTTATTTTGTCATGTCTTACACTGTATGTCTCCCTTTACCCACTTTTCTGTTGTCCGTCCCCCAGGGAGAGAGTTATATGTAGATCCTTGTGATAGGTTCCCCCTTTCTGCTCCCACCTTCCCTTACCCTCCTGGTATCATTACTCTCATTATTGGTCCTGAGAGGTTTATCTGTCCTGGATTCCCTGTGTTTCCAGCTCTTATCTGCACCACTGTATATCCTCTGGTCTAGCCAGATTTGTAAGGTAGAATTGGGATCATGATAGTGGGGGGGAGTGGGGGGAGCATTCAAGAACTAGAGGAAAGTTGTATGTTTCATCGTTGCTATACTGCACCCCGACTGGTTCGTCTCCTCCCTGAAACCTTTCTGTAAGGGAATGTCCAGTTGCCTACAGATGGGCATTGGGTCTCCACTCCACATGCCCCCTCATTCACATTGATATGCCTTTTTGTTCTTTGGTGCTTGATACCTGATCCCATTGACATCCTGTGATCACACAGGCTGGTGTGCTTCTTCCACGTGGGCTTTGTTGCTTCTAAGCTAGATAACTGCTTGCTTATCTTCAAGCCTTTAAGACCCCAGATGCTATATCTTTTGATATAGCATAGACAGGCGCCATCAGCTTTCTTCACCACATTTGCTTATGTACCCACTTTGTCTTCAGTGATCTTGTTGGGAAGGTCAGCATCATGGAATGCCAGTTTAATAGAACATAGTGTTCTTGCATTGAGGGAGTACTTGGGTAGAGGCCCAATGTCCATCTACTACGTTAATACTTAACCTATAAATATATGCACATAGATCTATTTCCCCATCATCATATATAAATATATTTACATGTGTGAATGCCTATATTTAGACTTCTATAAATACTCTTTTCCTCCTAGTTCTTTCTTCTATTTCCTTTTACTTTCCTCTTGTCCCACTATCATGTTCAGCCTTCATTTGGGTTTCAGTAGTTCCTTTCGGTTACATTGCCCTTGATCAAGCCCTACCAGACCTCCTATTCTGTTCTCACCGCTTGTTCTCTTGTTCCTGGTTTGCTAACACCCACTTCCTTTCTCCCTCCTCCCCCTCTCCTGGAATCGTTGGTCCTATTGTTTTCTCCTCCAGATTATTTTTCCTGCTTATCTTATCTAGATTGACCTGCAGAGATAATAATATGCACAAAAAACAAGACAGCAAAACAAAGCAACAAAAAAACCAAAATAACAACAAAAAACCAATGACACAGAAAAGAAAAGCCTTTAAATAGTTCAAGGTCTGTTTGTTGACCTTTAGGAGTGTTTTCAGTTGAGTCTGATGGGGTGCCACGCCATGGCCCCAAAGTCTATTTTTGGTACTCCCTTGGGACTTCCTTGCTCTGCTCCCCTTGCTGTTTTGTTGCACACCCTTAGTGTTTTGCGTCGTCGGTGTGGTGGAGTCACATCGGGTGCAATTCCTCTCGGCTACTATATTGTACAGCACAGGCTTACACGGAGTCCAGGAGAATCCAGCGTAGTACATTTCCAGAGGGGGGAAATGATTCCCAAAGACTATCCGTCAAGAACCAGGACTATATTTAACCAGGCAGTGATGGTTTACAATATACTGAAAGTCTGAAATTTTGGTTTTTAGAGTTTGAGCCTCCACTGCCTCAACCAGATTCTGAATGCCCAAAAGCAAAAGGTCCAGTTGGTGAATCTGAGAAAAGTGGGAACTTTGGGTGATCCAAGGTAAGATAAAAACCCTTTCCCTGTCAGCAATCACTTCCTTCCACCCTCTTCTCTCACTCGCTCTCTCACTCTCTCCCCAAGGAGCCAATCAGGCGTCTATAGAATCACTGCATGGGCCTCAGAGTCCCCTCGATCAGGCCCCCCCCCCCCACCATTTTTAAAAGCGTTTTATTGGGAATTGAGTGAAGATTTATCCACATTTGGTTTCAGTTCACCCACGGCAGCCCCTCAGTGGGCCGCCACTTACCCGGTTTCTTCCCTGTGTTTCCCGTCTCCAGCCCCCTTTCCCAGCCCTGTGTCCTGGGGTAAATGCTGCCCTCCGGGTTTTCATTGGTTGATTATTCTCACGCGGGGCGAGTTCCGTTCCAGACCTGACGGATGTCTACGGGTCAGGGTCTCGGGTTCTACCAGTGTTTATCTGACCAGTAAGCCCGGTCTCTTAAGATTTTGCGTTGTGTTCTGTGTTTTTCTCCCAGAACCATTGAATGTGATCGTTGTCACAGCAGTTGGTCGTGGTCACTGGGCACAGTCCAGTTCTTCTGGTCTCAGGGTTGTGAACACCGATATCCAATGGACTAATTGTTCTCGTGTGCCTTGACTTTTCATCACTCTTCTTTCCTGTGGGCAGGGAGAGACCAACATTTGCACCGTAGATGGCCGCTCACGAGCTTTTAAGACCCCGGTCACTAGTCATCAAAGTAGAACGTTGGACATTGTGAACTATGTTATGCCAGTTGAGCCTGGTGTCCCAGAGACTATGATCCTGAGACTCCCGGTGAAACACACACACACACACACACACACACACACACACACACACACTGATGGAGAGGAGCAGGATAAGTGTAGCGGTAACTCCCACCCAGAGAGAGACAGGCCTTGGTCCCTGCGGCAGGTTCTGGGAAGGCCTCTCCCCTGGAGAGCAGGTGCTGTGCCCACAAAACCCTGCTTCTGCTCACAGAGGAGGAGGAGCGTGGGAAGGGTGCCCTCCTTGGAGGTGAACGGCTTTCCTACCTACCTGCTCCCTGTTGATAACAGTTTGGGGTCTAAAGCAGTGGTTCTCAACCGTCCTAATGCCACGACCCTTTCATACAGCTCCTCATGTGGTGGTGACCCCCCAACCATAAACTTATTTTCATTGCTACTTCATCACTGTCATTTCGCTACTGTTAGGAATCGGGTGACCCGAAAAGGTTGTTAGGCCCCCAAAGGGGTTGTGACCCACAGGTCTCTGAGAACCGCTGGTCTAAAGGGTATTTTAGGCCAGGCTTATTTTACTTTGAAAATAGGATCCCCTCAAAAGCCTAGCAAACTTCGGACCTACTTATTCCCGGTCATTCTCATGAAACAGTTATCACAATCCAAATTTCTTTCCTGGGCACGAGCCTCAGGCTACTTTTATTTCTCTGTCCTTGGCCCTGTGCCCACTCTTTCAACACAAGGCTGGTACTTTGAGGTAGTCTGAAATGATGAGATGAAGGGCCAGCAATATCCTTAACCCGATTTCTTAAAAAAAACACATTTTATTGGCATACAATTTTCATATCATACAATTCAATAGCTCAGTCATATCAAGAAGAGTTGTACAATCAGAGCCACAATCTATTGGAGAACATTTTCTTGTACTCATTGTTATTAGCTCCCCCTTTCCTCCCAACCTCCCCTGATATGTCCCCAAGAAACCATGCATCCCGTTACTATCTTTATAGATTTACCTCTTCTGGATTTCATATACAGGAAAACATACAACAAATTAACAACAATAACAAATTAAAACAGAGAAAAACCTCCATCGGAAAGAAAGTAGGAAATATTGAAAACTAGAGCAAATTTAAATGGGTCAGAAGAGATATCCAGAGATACGAGGTTACATGTTAACCTGACCGCATCTGTGACAATCCACTTTCCAGCGACTCTGCTTGAGAGCAAGGTTGGTCACATCCCTGGTCTCTGGTCAGAGGGGACTCACCGGAGGCTTAATCTATGTGTGGACGCTGCAAATGGATTTTGGGCTTCTACTGTTGCCCATCTTTAACCTGTTTTTTACATCAAAGATGGGCATAACGGGTGGCCTTTGTTTAAGGAGTCCCTAGGTGGTACAAGTGGTTAAACACTTGGTTGCTAACCCAAAGGTTGGAGATTTGGATCCGCACCAAGGTGGGTCAGAAGAAAGGCCTGGCAACCTAGTTCCCCCCAAAAACAGCCATTGCAAACCCTCTCGAGCAGTTTTTCCTCGGACACACCTGGGTTGTTATGAGTCAGAATGGACATGCGGACAGTTGCTCTTCTTGTTGCTCAGAAAGCCTGTGTCATCACTCGGCCTCTTTAATCCCTGTAGCCCTCTGTTCGTTTCCTTCTACTTGCTAACTCGCCCATTCCCTCCTGCTTCCCCATTTTCCTGTAGTCACCGAACCAAGCTAGTGCCGCTGCAAGTCTCCCTAGAGCGGCTGGCTCAGTAGCCATACCGTGGGCCTTCTGAATCGTCACTGCAGACAGGTTTATGGGGTGCCTCGAGTTGGAATTGACTCAATGGTGGTGCCTTTGTTTTCGCCGTTGCTTACCAGTCTCATGAACCCCATGGACTCCCGGCCTGTCTCTCTGTGTCCCTGGTCCTGCGGCATGGGGTCTCATGCAGTGCTTCCCGAGTGAGCATTGTTGGCAGCTTTGCTTTAGTGCCCCCCTTTCCAGTGATTTCTGTGTTAGGCTGCGTTACGCTAAGCCCTGCAACAAATCGAGCCAATAGGTAATAGCTGATGGAAGATAGAAATTTATTTCTCCTTTGGGTGATCCAAGGTAAGATAAAAACCCTTTCCCTGTCAGCAATCACTTCCTTCCACCCTCTTCTCTCACTCGCTCTCTCACTCTCTCCCCA